ACATCTTGTCTGTTCTAGAAAATATGAAATATAGTTTGTATTTCATTTTGGCACTGTCTAATTTGTTCTTCATGGCTGTTAATGTTCCTTTTTTCATATTTTTGCATTTGTTCAGCAGCAGTTGGGAGGGGCTGTGAAGATTGAAGATCTGAATAGTGTAATAAAAAAAAACCAAGAAAGCCATAATGGGTTTAGTTCTAGTGTGGATTTTAATACACATGCACTTTACAGATGCAAATTAATCCATGTAAATCTGTATTTGAGAACAATGTAGAAATAGCCAAGAGGTTTCTTAGCACTATCATCATATCACAGTCCCCAGATTCTTTGAAAGCAATGATGTTTGAATTAATATAAACCAGATAATGTGTAGGTTAAAACTGTTCATATCTCCAAGGAAGATGAAGAAATTGGGTTTTTATTGACTCATAATCCATAGGCATGAAAAGGCATTAAAAGCAAACTTTTTTTGTTGCTTTTATATAGTTTGGGACAAGGAATCAGAAAACAAAAAGAATCAACAACCAGGATGGTCACCAAGCATCTAGCATACTTTAATAAATCACATTATGCCAACAATACCTGCTGGAAAGCTTCCATCATTTCAATACTCGTTGCTTCAGATCAGCAGTTACCTTAATCAACATTGGATATTAGCTTTTAACATTTAAATTCTCCAGATCATTGAAATTGCCTCTAACAAAATTTAGAACAGACTGTTACTGATATTTCCATCTGCACTGATTCTGAAGTAGGAATACAAAACCTGAGAATACTGCAGGATCCAATCAAGGGACCAGAGGTTCAGTCTTCCAAACTTTCAGACTCATGCTGGAGCCCAGCACGAGTCCAAAAGCTTGAAAGGCTAAACCTTTGACCTCAGTGACCAACCCTGATTGGATCCTGCATCATTATCCTGGGACATGAGCATACTGCTTAAAGAGAGTAGTGATATAAAGATTACAGTGATTTTGCTTTATAAAATTTGATTAGTATCTCTTAAATGACAGGTATTAAAAAAAATTTTTTTTGCAATATTTTAGTTTGAGGATATAATTAAGCCAACTGTAAATTCAAATTTGTCTTGCAGCTGAAGTGATCCAGTGCTTCCAAATCAGCTGATGAACTTATTTACTCCATTTGGAATAAATTAGAGAGTGTAATCTTTAGCTATTAGTAAAAAAGATTCATATTAAAATCTATTTAAAAGGTCAAGGGTTTTATTAAAAACAAACATGGGTCAGACTTAGAACAAGATTTAATGAATGTCGAAGAGAAAGGGGTACATGAGCAGCAACAGGTTACTGATAGGAGCCACAGCTAAAGACTTTGACAGATTGTTTTCCTGAGTATGGAGGAGAAAATTACAATTTGGAACATGCTTCTCAAAAGGGAAAGGTTATCCATTATTTTAAAAAGTTGAATCAAGATGCAATTTGTTTGTAGGAAACATGCATAAGGTCAAAAGATGTAAAATATTTGATATATAAATCTTTAGTGAGGAATTTAGATCAGCAGGTGTGAAAAAGATTGATGGCATTGTTTTCTATATTAAATCAGAGCTTAAAGTAGCCTAGAATTGCCTTGGTGAGATGGGAGACATAGAAGTTTAATAAATAAGCTACAGCTTTTATTGTCAAAAGAGCAAGGCAGATATGAAATACAGTAGAAGTAGAGATACAAGGCATCAAATCAATAATTGTTGGACTTTATATGCCAAATGATAAAAAAAAGGTTTTCCCCCCCCAATATATGGAAACTTGTAAAAAGAAGTTAAATTAATTTTTATAAGAATCTGGATAAAGAAAATTGTAATTTTCTTTAATTTCCACTGAAGTTGTAATGTGAAGCTATTTTATTCTATATAATTGGGAGTTAAACAAGAAATCTCAGAAAAAAATATAAATTATATTAGATGAAATTAAAAGGAAAGAAGAGGATTTATAGAAAGCACCTGAGTGTACTATTTTACATCCAATTAAACTCTTACAGAAGTAAAAAACCATGTTAATTGTAAGAGAAAAAGAGGCTAAATTAAACAATCTGAAACTGGCAAATGGTTGATTTATACATTGAAAAGGAAGAGAGAAAGGAAAATAATACTGAAGATTCAAGAAGGTAAGACTATATTAATCCTGTAATTATTCAGAAATACTTTTATGATTTTTATTCAAATCTATATAAAAACCATGAAGTTTCCCTAGAAAAGATTAATGATTATTTGAAAAAACACACCAATTTCTTAATTCTCTCAAGAAACAAAATATGAATAGTACTATAACAACTTTTGAAAAATCAGAGGCTATAAGAAACATCAAAATAGGATAGGCACCAGGCCCTGATGGATCACCAAGTTAATAAGCATTTTGAAGATCATCTTCTACAACTATTTAAATATGTATGAACTTTTTAGATGGGTCTCTTATGACAGAATCAAAGAAAGAAGTGAACATTTCTTTACTCCCAAAAGAGGGCAGAGGACTTGACTTAAACTGAAAATTATAGACCAATTTCATTGCTGAATTTAATAGATAGATAGATAGATAGATGATAGATAGATAGATAGATAGATAGATAGATAGATAGATAGATAGATAGA